TTATAGCAATGAAAAGAGCCCGTTTCTAGATTTTATGTCAAACCGGTGTAAATATATTGGAATTTTATAAACGAATACACAAAACCGGCTTTATGTAAACAAAACTCATTTCTAACATTTGTTTATGTTTTCAGAATAGTTATGAAACAATTTCATAACAAATCTTTTCTAAACATAAATTAACTGTTTAATTGATTCTTTTGTAGATTATGTGTACTTTGAAAGTTCTTCAACATCACCATATCAAATTCGTCGCATTGAAGAATTAAACAAAACTGCTTCAGGAAATGTTGAAGCAAAAGTTATGTGTTTTTATCGAAGGAGGGATTTGCCAGGGAGTCTTGTGCAACTTGCTGATAAACATCAAGGTGTTATAATTTGCAATAAGTTTTACTCGATTTTTAATTTGTCAATCTTGTGTTATATACAATGTGAACATTTTAGTTGCTACTTCTGAGGATTCTCCAGTTGCTATGAAATTAAAGAAAATGTGGCTAAAAACACCTGTAAGTGAAGAGCAAGCTGCACAAGCAGTTTTGGACCCAGCAATTGGTTAGTACTAATATAAATATATTATTGAAAATATTCAAATTATAAGTTATAGAAGTATTACTTTTAAATGGGGCCGATGCAAGTTAACATACATCTTAATAACACACACTCAATCAATATAAATATTTTCAGTGCTTTAATTCAACATATATTTTTAAAATTGATGTGTCGAAGTCATTAATAATTTGCCACGATTGCATTAAGAATATATATGATAAATAATGTAGTGGACATGTTCATACATATGATATATACATACCATTAAAGTAAAATTAAACTGAAACAAAATTACTAAATATTTCAATCGTTTTGAGCATGAAAATATTAAAAAATAAACTCATAATAAATGCCTATCCTCAAAAAAGATATTCAATGTATAAAAATGATCATACTAGTTGGGTTTGTTCAAATTAAGAATTGATTATTCTTAATTTGAACAAACAAATTGAAATTGATTATACGTGTGAGTGAAAATGTTT